CCTTCATCAGGTGAAGGGATCAGGCTGTCTCGAGGACAGCGCTGGAGTGAAACACAGCCACGCTCAGACCGCGACCTTTAAGCTGTGTGCGGGGGAAACAAGGTGCCTTGACAAAGGAATTAGCATAAAGATTAGCATTTGATTGGCCGACTTAGCATAGAGGTGTTGTACGGGTGAACATGCCGGTTGGCGCGGGGGGGAGGGGGAGCTTACCCCATTGATGGGGTGAAAAGGGAATTTAAGAGCTGCGAAAGTTTTGGGGTACCACTACTTGAAAAATATACTGTACCATTGAAATTAGTTTAATGTTTGGTTCGATTTAGAACATCTTTCCAATGGTTGCTTAATTTGAAACCATCTTCTTCGGTTGAAATTGTGTCTGTGCTTGTAGATCTGAATTACCTCGTGAACAAATCTCTGATAAAAGCCCGTGGGTTTTGCAAAGAACCTTGGTATCGGAGAAAATTATATCGTGATCACCCACAGCGTTGTAACAGTGATCAGCTACGGCAGAAGAATTTGTTCTGCCGTGTTTCAAATCTAAATTGTGCTCGCGAATTCGGTCAGAGACATGTCGCTTTGTCTCCCCGATATAGCAATCACCGCAGGTATAACTCAATTTGTAAACCCCGTGGGTACTGTAAGTCAGAAATGAGATCCTTCACGGATGGGATCAGATCACGAATTTTGTGTACTGTATTGAACCGGACCTGGATCTTGTGTTTGTTTAGAATTTTGGAAATCCCTTTTAGTAACGCCTGCTATATATGGTAGTGTGATGGTTTTGACTGGAGTATCAAGTGGTTGTTTCTGTATGGAGGGAGAAACAGCTTGGCGGATGGTACGGTCAGAGTATCCATTCCTTTTGAGGGCCCAGGTGTACATGCTTTAATTCACTGGTCAGGTGGTGTGTCTAAAATGCAATGAGCCCTATGATATAAAGTTTTGACTGAGAGAATTCTTCTGGGCTGGGTGGTGGTGGGAATCAGGCCTCAAGTAGGAATCCGTGTGGGTGGGTTCCTGTAGACAGAATGCCCAATGAGCCATCAGGTCTCCTCTCAAACAGAACATCCAAGAATAGTAGCTTGCCAATCTTTCTCCACCTCCATGGTTGAATTTTATAGCGGGATGTCTGGAATTGATGTGGTGTAGGAAAAGGTTCAGAGCTGGGAGGCCATGTGGCCAAATGACGAAAGTGTCATCCACATATCTCTTCCACAGGGAATGTCTTGAGGGTGGAAGTCTGGATGGCTGTCTGATTCAAATTTCTCCATGAAAATATGGCTATCACTGGTGACAAGGGGGATCCCATGGGGGTACCCTCATTTTCTTTGTAGAAGGAGCCATTCCAAGTAAAGTAGGTATTGGTGAGGCAGTGCCTAACCAGTGCAGGTGTATCGGGGTCTAGTCCATGTTGGACCAAATTTTCAATTATTTCAGGTACTGATACCAGTGTTGATTCTATGGGCAGTGTTGAGTCTATGGTGCAGTGTTGAGTCTATGGACAGTGTTGAGTCTATGGTGCAGTGTTGAGTCTATGGGCAGTGTTGAGTCTATGGTGCAGTGTTGAGTCTATGGGCAGTGTTGAGTCAATGGGCAGCGTTGAGTCTATGGGCAGTGTTGAGTCAATGGGCAGCGTTGAGTCTATGGGCAGTGTTGAGTCAATGGGCAGCGTTGAGTCTATGGGCAGTGTTGAGTCAATGGGCAGCGTTGAGTCTATGGGCAGTGTTGAGTCTATGGTGCAGTGTTGAGTCTATGGGCAGTGTTGAGTCTATGGGCAGTGTTGAGTCTATGGTGCAGTGTTGAGTCTATGGGCAGTGTTGAGTCTATGGGCAGTGTGAGTCTATGGGCAGTGTTGAGTCTATGGGCAGTGTTGAGTCTATGGGCAGTGTGAGTCTATGGGCAGTGTTGGGTCTATGGGCAGTGTTGAGTCTATGGGCAGTGTTGAGTCTATGGGCAGTGTTGAGTCTATGGGCAGTGTTGAGTCTATGGGCAGTGTTGAGTCTATGGGCAGTGTTGAGTCTATGGGCAGTGTTGAGTCTATGAGCAGTGTTGAGTCTATGGTACAGTGATGAGTCTATGGGCAGTGTTGAGTCTATGGGCAGTGTTGAGTCTGTGGGCAGTGTGAGTCTATGGGCAGTGTTGGGTCTATGGGCAGTGTTGAGTCTATGGGCAGTGTTGAGTCTATGGGCAGTGTTGAGTCTATGGGCAGTGTTGAGTCTATGGTACAGTGATGAGTCTATGGGCAGTGTTGAGTCTATGGGCAGGGTTGAGTCTATGGTGCAGTGTTGAGTCTATGGGCAGTGTTGAGTCTATGGGCAGTTGTTGAGTCTATGGGTAGTGTTGAGTCTATGGGCAGTGTTTGAGTCTATGGGCAGTGTTGAGTCTATGGGCAGTGTTGAGTCTATGGGCAGTGTTGAGTCTATGGTGCAGTGTTGAGTCTATGGGGCAGTGTTGAGTCTGTGGGCAGTGTTGAGTCTATGGGCAGTGTTGAGTCTATGGGCAGCGTTGAGTCTGTGGGCAGTGAGTATGTGTGTTGAACGTCTTTCGCACCATACGTAGCCAACCGTGCTGGGACAGGTGCGCTTGCCCGGCACCCGTGAAGTCTGCTGAGAATAGATCCCCCACGCTGTTCGCCCGCGAGTCACCCGCTAGCCTAGCCCCCCCCCCCCCCCCCCCCCCCCGTGGGTCTTCTGTTTGCCTCATGGATCACCTCTCATTACCGGCCCTTCCGCGTGACAGACAGGACACCCTTTGGTCCGCTGTGAATCCTATCGGGTCCAACGTTGCTCCGTGCGCCCGTGAAGATTGGGGGGGGGGGGGGGGGGGGTGGGGGGTGGGATTCGTTGCCCCCGAAGCGTCGCCCGTTTGTATGCGTGCGTGTTTCTTCATCTCAAGGCCGCGGTGTCGTTGACAAATGTGGTGAGTCGGTGCGTTCGTTACTCGGGCTAGCGGTTCTTGACCATCGCCTGCTGCAGCCTTGCAGACGCTTGGTTCTCAGTCGTTCACGTACGATGTTGATAACTACATCGTCGTCGCCGTCAAACAAGGCAGTGGGATACTGCTGGATGACGCTTGGTTCATCTTTACTACAGCCTTGCAGACGCTTGGTTCTCAGTCGTTCACGTACGATGTTAATAAGTACATCTTCGTCGTCGTCGTCAAACAAGGCAGTGGGATACTGCTGGATGACGCTTGGTTCATCTTTACTACAGCCTTGCAGACGTTTGGTTCTCAGTCGTTCACGTACGATGTTAATAACTACATCTTCGTCGTCGTCGTCGCCGTCAAACAAGGCAGTGGGATACTGCTGGATGACGCTTGGTTCATCTTTACTACAGCCTTGCAGACGTTTGGTTCTCAGTCGTTCACGTACGATGTTAATAACTACATCGTCGTCGTCGTCGCCGTCAAACAAGGCAGTGGGATACTGCTGGATGACGCTTGGTTCATCTTTACTACAGCCTTGCCGACGTTTGGTTCTCAGTCGTTCACGTACGATGTTGATAACTACATCATCATCGTCGTCATCGTCGCCGCACAGGGCAGTGGGATACTGCTGGATGACGCTTGGTTCATCTTTACTACAGCCTTGCAGACGTTTGGTTCTCAGTCGTTCACCGTACGATGTTAATAACTACATCATCGCCGTCATCGTCGCCGCACAAGGCAGTGGGATACTGCTGGATGATGCTTCTCGATCAGTGGTTCTTCATCTTTACTACAGCCCTGCAACCGTTTGGTTCTCAGTCGTTCATGTACGATGTTAATAACTACATCATCATCGTCGTCGTCGCACAGGGCAGTGGGATACTGCTGGATGACGCTTCTCGATTAGTGGTTCATCTTTACTACAGCCTTGCAGACGTTTGGTTCTCAGTCGTTCACGTACGATGTTAATAACTACATCTTCGTCGTCGTCGTCGCCGCACAGTGCAGTGGGATACTACTGGATGATGCTTCTCGATCGGTGGTTCATCTTTACTACAGCCTTGCACCCCTTCGGTTCTCATTCGTAAAAAATAATAACTGTACGTTAACAAATACATACAGGGTTGGATGAAACTAAGTAAGTTGCGTTATGATAACAGGTTTTCCCTTTTTTTCTGACAACAAAACAGCTGTGTTAAGATGTTAAAACACCAAACTGAAACCTTTTATAAGGAATCATGTCTTGCATTAACCACAATAATTGTGGTCAGAATGCAAACAAAAAACAAACTCTGATAATCTATTGGCATTGTCCTTCAAACTGATTGGTCCACACGAGAGACAGCTTTCTTTAAAGGACCCGGAAAAAAAATCCACGCAACCACGGGGAGAGAGAGAGAGAGACACCGTCAGGATCGAACCCACGACCTCCTGTACACCCAGGCGACGTAGTTAACATCTCCTAGCCACCGTGATGATGATGAGAGAGAGACACGTAGACTCCAAATACACAGCAGCAGGCGTCAGGGTCGGGATCGAACCCACGACCTCCTGTACACCAGGCGAGGTAGTCAACATCTCCTAGCCACCGTGATGATGATGAGAGAGAGACACGCAAACTCCAAATATACAGCAGCAGGTGTCAGGGTCGGGATCGAACCCACGACCTCCTGCACACCAGGCGAGGGAGTCAACATCTCCTAGCCACGTGATCACCACATCAGTCGATGGGGCCCTTCTTTCTGCAAGCACTCTGAGCCTCCACCTGAGCGTGCGAGCTCCTCCGTGAGTCTTCCGTGCAAGCCGTTGGCGCGTCTTGGTCGGCATTGGCCCCTGATGGAATTAATTCAATCGGGGGGGGGGGGTGGGGGTGCGAGCGGGGGGAGGTGGGATCCCCTCCCCCCCTTGTCCAATTCCCTGCCTCCCTTACCCACTCCGATAGCTTTGCCACCCGGGGCCTCTCTGTCGGCCACCGTGCGGTCGCACCGCCTGCACGCTTTGGCTGCTGCGCCACTGCTCACACCGCCTCCTCCTCCTCCTCCTTTCTCGCCCCCCCCCCGGCGCCGCAGGTCACCACGTCGGCCAGCACGCGGTGCTTCTGTTGCCGCTCGGCCGCGGAGAGGGACAAGTGGATGGAGAATCTCAGGCGAGCTGTGCAGCCCAACAAGGTGTGAGCGTGTGTGTGTGTGTCACTGTGTGTGTGTGTCACTGTGTGTGTGTGTGTCACTGTGTGTGTCACTGTGTGTGTGTGTCACTGTGTGTGTCACTGTGTGTGTGTCACTGTGTGTGTATCACTGTGTGTGTCACTGTGTGTGTGTGTCACTGTGTGTGTCACTGTGTGTGTGTGTCACTGTGTGTGTCACTGTGTGTGTCACTGTGTGTGTGTGTCACTGTGTCACTGTGTGTGTCACTGTGTGTGTGTCACTGTGTGTGTATCACTGTGTGTGTGTGTGTGTCACTGTGTGTGACTCCTCTGTCGGGAGCTGGACCGGTACCGGCTGGATCTATGTGGCATTCAGGAGGTCCGGTGGACCGGCTCTGTCTCCTGCCACCATGAGGGGTGGACAGTCCTCTACTCGGGGCAGCAGACTGCCAAACAACAGGGTGTGGCTCTTCTTTTGAACAAAAGAATGAAAGGGGCGTGGGAGCGTGGCGGTGAGGTGTGGGAAGCTGTAAGCCCCAGGCTACTTTGGGCTCGCCTTCCCATCAACCGGAGGCGAGGAATGGTGGTCGTGGTTACTTATGCCCCCACCGAAGATGAACATCCGTGGAGGGATGCAGGCAAAGCCGATGAGTCAGATGCCTTCTATGACCTGTCACAGGTGCTGGCTAAAGTGGTCCCTCGGGATAGAGTCATCATGTTGGGTGACTTCAATGCCCGAGTTGGTCATGATACTGGCACCTGGTCTGGAGTGATTGGAGGGCATGGGCCAGATCAGCTCAATGACAACGGTAGGAGGCTGCTAGATTTTTGTGCAGCCCATGGGCTTGTAATTACCAACACGCTGTTCCGGCATCGGCGCATCCACACAACATCATGGATGCATGCCGGGTCCAAGCAAGAACATCTGCTGGACTACATAGTGACGGACCAGCGGATGCGAGCCCATGTCCTTGACACCAGGACCTACCGTGGAGCTGATCTGCCCTCTGACCATCGACTAGTCATCTGTAAGATGCGCCTGCCATTCTTCCACTCCGGTGGTGGGTGTACACCCAGGACCCCATTCCAACCTAAAGTGGCCTGGTCTCAGTTATCTGATGAAAGTTGAAAGCGAGAATTTCATCATCGCTTGCGGCTGGGATTGGCATCGTCCCCGACTCCTCCTGATGTCGAGGGTAAATGGGCGAGGTTTAGGACTGTGACTCATGCAGCTGCAATGGCTGCTTTTGGTACGCGGTCCAGACCTCCCCAGAGACCCTGGCTGACAGAGGAGGTGTTCAGGATGGTTGAAAAAAAGCGACAGGCCCACTGTCATCGGCTACATAATCCCACGCCAGAGAATGAGGAGGCTTACCGCAGCCTTCGCTCGGAGGTTCGGAGAGCCGTGAGGCGCTGCAAGGATGGGTGGTGGTCGCGGGTTGCTGAGGAGATGGAGTCTGCCTCAGTGGCCCGTGATCACAAATCTCTATTTAACTCCATCAAAAAAGTAACATGCAGCGCCACACCATATTACCATCATTAGGGGAAAAAACGGTGATCCTAATCTCCGACCCCCAGGAACAGGTTTGCAGATTTTACTGAGCATTTCTGTGAGGTCCTGGGGAGGGAAAATCCCTCAGCCAGGAAAACAATCGTGGCACTAAGTGAGGAATGACCCTGCTGAGGCTGCGGTGCCTCAAATATTGGAAGAAGTCACCCCCTGTGAGTGGCTGGCTGAGGTGCCATCTGTTGAGGAAGTACTGAAGGCGATCCGGAGTCTTGAGACTAGGCAAAGGCAGCTGGGCAGAGATGATCTCCCAAGCGAGATGCTGAGGGAGGGTGGCGTTTGTGCACAGACTGCCCTATATGACATCATAACAACAGTCTGGACCACTGGACGGGTTCCGCAGGATTGGAAGGATGTCCCTGGTGGTCCTCCTCTTTAAGAAGGGGGACCAGCACAGACTGTAACAACTACAGGGGCATCTCACTCCTGAGTGTGCCAGGAAAGGTCCTGGCAAGGATTATTCAACATCGCCTTGCCAGGCACGCTGAGGAGAGGCTTGCGGAGCCCCAATGCGGTTTCAGGAAAGGGCGGTCCTGCACGGATGCCTATATTTTCTGTCCATCTTCTACAGCAGAGGTGTAGGGAATTCCAGCAAGACCTACATCTTTGCTTTATTGACCTGGTGTTCAAGGCCTATGATACCATCAGTAGGCCTAGGCTCTGGGTTGTTCTTTCGTGCTTTTGGAGTCCCTGACCCTCTGCTCACGATAATTAAGGACCGTCATGATGGTGAGTGGGCCCGGGTAAAACTACGTGGCTGGGAGTCAGAGCCATTCCCTGTAACCTTAGGGTGCGACAGGGATGTCCTCTGGCTTCCACATTATTTAACATCTATTTTGACCACGTAAGTTCGTGAAGCCTTCAATATCTGTACCGGGGGAATCTCCATTTGGTACAGATATAATGGGAGGCTGATCGATGCCCGGGTGCGGTCAAGGGATGGCTCCCTATTGCTCAACCACGTTATGTATGCTGATGATTTGGTAATAGCTGCTCATTCAGAGGAGGAGTTGGAGACGCTGCTACTGAGACTGGAGCGGTGCAACTAAGAGATGGTGCCTTACCATCAGCCCCACCAAAACTAAGCACCTGCCTGGGTATTTTGTACTATCGGACACTCCACCCCCACAACTCCCAATCGGTGATGGGGCAGTTGTGGAGAGAGTGGAGAGTTTCCCATACCTGGGCAGTGTGCTTATGACTGGCTCCAGTTTAACAGCAGAGGTCTCACTTCCGAATCAGTCGAGCGGGCAATATCTTTTCATCGGTTGCATAACGCTGTGTGGAAGCTACCTGGTCTGTCACTCCGCACTAAGCTTCAGGTCCTTCTCGGCCACGGTCAATTCCCTCCCTTCTCTACGTTTGCAAAACGTGGACCCCCCTAATGGAACATCTTCGCCGGTTAGAAACATTTAGGCTGGCCTGCCTACGATCCATCCTGGGTTTAACCAGACTGGATTGTGTGAGGAGCTCACAAATCCTTGAAAGATCTGGGCAAGGTCCCATCGGTGAGCTCTCCGGCGGGGAAGGCTGCGATGGCTGGGTCATGTAGCCCGCATTCCCAGCCACCGCATGCCGAAACAGCTTTTGTTCGGCCGGATTGAGAGGGGCTAAGCGGTCGTGGCACGGGCTAGAGAAGAGATGGAGTGATGTGGTACAGGAGGACGTGGAGCTGAGTGGACTTGCCGATGACTGGTACCAGCGGTGTCAAGATCGGCCTCTGTGGAGGAGGCTCGTGAAGGACGCTACTGGGCAGTTGGAGGTATTCTCCCTCCAACAACAACGGAGGGCGGAGGAGCGACGCTCAGAACAACGAGCGGAGCGCCGGGTGGCTAAAGCACAGCAGGTTGGCACAGTAGGGGGCACAGTTGGTGCATCAGCCAGTCATCTCAGTCAGTCGACCCGTGCCACCTGGGTCTGCCCCGTGACCTCCTGCCAGCGGGCGTTCGACACTTCACGTGGCCTCAGGGTGCACATAGCCTGCCACAAGCATTGTGGTGACGTCACCGCCACTTAGTGGCGAATGGCGGTTGTTGTTGTTGTGAGTCACTGTGTGTGTGTGTGTCACTGTGTGAGCAATGGTGTAGCGGTTAGCGCGCTGCGCTATGAACCTAGCGACCCGGGTTCGATTTCCGCTCACGGCCAACACCGGTGACGATTATCTGAACCGGTCCTGGGCCTCCCCTAGGTCAACTCAGCCTCAAATGAGTACCTGGTGCAGTGTGTAGTAAACATCGCCACTAGGGAGACAAAGGCGGCCGGGCGTGGTGCTGGCCACCCACCCCTTCGTGTGCCACAGTGCCGGCCTTCACAGGTGATGCTACTCGCTGACCGCACTTGCCCCTACAGCCTGTTGAGGCTACACAGGGGGGGTGGTGTGTGGGGAACAGCCGGGAGACAACTGGTGGAGATCCTTCCCCAGCAGTGAGCTCCAGAGTGCAATTACGGGGCTGCACCTTTACCTCCACTCCCTCCTCCCTCCCTCCTCCTCCACTCCCTCCTCCCTCCCTCCCTCCTCCACTCACTCCCTCCTACTCCCTCCACTCCCTCCCTCCACTCCCTCCCTCCACTCCCTCCCATCTCCCTCCCTCCTTCCACTCCCTCCCGCTACTCCCGCCACTCCCTCCCCCCTCTCCCCTCCCTCCACTCCTCCACTCCCTCCACTCCCTCCCACTCCCTCCCTCCCTCCCTCCACTCCCTCCACTCCCTCCACTCCCGCCACTCCCTCCCTCCACTCCCTCCCCCCTCTCCCTTCCCTCCACTCCCTCCTTCCACTCCCTCCACTCCCTCCCCTCCCCTCCACTCTCTCCCTCCACTCCCGCCACTCCCTACCTCCACTCCCTCCACTCCACTCCCTCCACTCCTCCCTCCCCCCCTCCCCCCTCCCTCCCTCCACTCACTCCACTCCCTCCACTCCCTCCACTCCACTCCCTCCACTCCACTCCCTCCACTCACTCCCACCACTCCCTCCTCCACTCCCTCCCCTCCCCACTCCCTCCCCTCCCTCCCTCCCTCCACTCCCTACCCTCCTCCCTCCCTCCACTCCCTACCCTCTAATACACCCCCCCACCCTCCCTGCCCCTCTCTCCCCCTCCACCCTCCCCCCCTCTCCCCCCCCTCCCCACCGCCGGGCAGGACAACACCCGCCGCACGGAGTGCTCGCTCAAGGTGTGGGTGATCGAGGGGCGCGACCTCCCCGCCAAGAAGCGCTACTACTGCGAGCTGTGCATCGACGACGCTCTGTACGCCCGCACCACGTGCAAGCTGCGCTCCGACGGCCTCTTCTGGGGCGAGCACTTCGAGTTTGCCGGCGTGCCAGCCCGCGCCCGCAGCCTCACCGTGCACCTGTACAAGGAGCCGGACAAGGCGCGCAAGAGGCACCGCGACAAGGCGAGCGGCTACGTGGGCCTCGTGAGCGTGCCGCTCGCCGGTGTGAGCGGGCGACAGTTCGTCGAGCGCTGGTGCCCGCTGAGCACGCCCGGCGGTGGCGGCGGAGGTGGCGGTGGGGGAGGGGGAGGGGTGGGGGGCAAGCTGGTGAGGGCGGCCGTGCCGGCGCTCCGGATCAAGGTGAGTGGGGGTGGGGGTGGGTGGTGGCGGCGGTGGAGGCGGTGGAGGAGGAGGCAGTGGTTAAATCTTGACTTGAAGATTTCGCGACTGCAGGGAATTTCGTGTTCTTTGGGTCTGTACTCTTTGGTTCTATTGGGTAAAGTCAGGTAGTTAGGTGAAAATAAAATAACAAAAAAAATCACGACGTTTCGGCCACAACACAAGCGGCCTTCATCAGGTGAAGGGACGAGGCTGTCTGGAGGACAGCGCTGGAGTGAGAGAAGCCACGCTTAGATCACGACCTTTAAGCTTGTGATCGCGGCATCTTTTGAGGAAGGTCAGCGTCTCGATGAGCTGTGACTTCTTGTCCCGTTGTATGTTAAAAGCTCTAACAGATAGGTGAAAGCCCTCCCCATAGATGTGATCAATTCTAGATTTAAAGCTTTCGTGACTGCTAGGATCCATACTCTTTGGTTCTATTGGGGTAAAGTGACGTAGGTGAAAATAAAATAACAAAAATCACGACGTTTTGGCCACAACACAAGCGGCCTTCATCAGGTGAAGGGACGAGACTGTCTGGAGGACAGCGCTGGAGTGAGAAAAGCCACGCTCAGATCACGGCCTTCAAGCTGTGTGAGAAGAAAACAAAGCGCCTTGACAAAGGAATTAGCATATAATTTAGCATTGAAATGGCTCATTGAAATAGCTAAGTTAAAGTATACACATCCCCAAAGGTACCCCTTGACAAAGGAATTAGCATAGAATTTAGCATTGAAATAGCCGAGTGATTAGCTTGTAACTGGTCACAGAAATAGCTATGTTAAAGTCAGAGCATATACATTCACCGAGGCACCTAGTACTAATCAAACGGCAAGTCCACCGGCACGTACACCACCTCTTTCCTAAAATCGGCCAATCAAATGCTAATTTTTATGCTAATTTCTTTGTCAGAACACCTTGTTTGCTCGCACACAGTTTAAAGGTCCGCTGTCTGAGCGTGGTTGTGTTTCGCTAAATTCTCCTGTTTGATTAGTACTAGGTGCCTCGGTGAATGTATATGCTCTGACTTTAACATAGCTATTTCTGTGACCAGTTACAAGCTAATCACTCGGCTATTTCAATGCTAAATTCTATGCTAATTCCTTTGTCAAGGGGTACCTCTGGGGATGTGTATACTTTAACTTAGCTATTTCAATGAGCCATTTCAATGCTAAATTATATGCTAATTCCTTTGTCAAGGCACGTGGTCTTTTTCTTCTCACACAGCTTAAAGGTCGTGATCTGAGCGTGGCTTCTTCCACTCCAGCGCTGTCCTCCAGACAGTCTCGTCCCTTCACCTGATGAAGGCCGCTTGTGTTGTGGCCGAAACGTCGTGATTTTTTGTATTTTTTTTGTTATTTTATTTTCACCTACGTGACTTTACCCAATAGAACCAAAGAGTATGGATCCTAGCAGTCACGAAAGCTTTAAATCTAGAATTCTTTGGGTCTTTCGTGGCAAAGCCACGGAGGTAGGTTCAAATAATTTTTTGGGATTTTTTTTTCTTTGAACACATCTACGTGACTTTACCGAAAGGCCCAAAGAACAGTGGTGTTGAATTTCGATTTAAAGCTTTCGTGACTGCAAGGATTCATCTTCTTTGGTTCTTTCGGTAAAGTCACCACGTAGAATGAGAATAAAATAATAAAATGACACGATAAAATTCTCACGACGTTTCAGCTACAACGCAAGCGGCCGTCTTCAGGTGAAAGGGACAGACCTGTCGGGACGACAGAGCTTCAATGAGGAGAACGGGGTGCGGTGGACGAGCTTTCACCTGAAGACGGCCGCTTGCGTTGTGGCCGAAACGTCGTGAGAATTTTATTGTGTTATTTTATTATTTTATTCTCATTCTACGTGGTGACTTTACCGAAAGAACCAAAGAAGATAGTGGCGTTGGTTGTTGTGGTGGTGATGGTGGTGGTGGTGGCGGTGATGATTATCGTGGCGGGTCTGAATATGGTGGTCGTGGTGGTGCCAGTACCGGATTATCGTAGAAGCAAAAGTAGCTACATACTATATGTAGTAGTAGCTACTACACGTGTAGTAGCTACTACTACACGTGTAGTAGTAGCTACTACTACACGTGTAGTAGTAGCTACTACTACACGTGTAGTAGCTACTACTACACGTGTAGTAGTAGCTACTACACGTGTAGTAGCTACTACTACACGTGTAGTAGCACGTGTAGTAGTAGCTACTACTACTACACATGTAGCTACTACTACACATGTAGTAGTAGCTACTACTGCTACTACACGTGTAGTAGTAGCTACGGGCCCCGCACTTTCAAGGGCCCCGCGCTAAACGCTTTCAAGCTATCAAGTCCGGTTCAGTGATTCTGCACTTGCTCTATTACTATAGTACTACACCGCCTTCGACTTTTAGGAATGGCGGGTGTTTAAGGTGAGCGATTTGTCGTATTATCTGGACTGTGTAGCAAATGAAAAAATACAATTGCTTTACCGCGCAAGTAACAAATGTGTGTTTTCATATTTTCGTGCTTTTTTTTTTTACAATTTAGGGCCCCTTTAGAACATCATATGCTACAGGCCCCGCACTTAGGTAGTGGTGGTGGCGATTGTGTTGGTGCTTCCGGATGTAGAGGTGGCGGTGATCAATCCTGGTGGCGGCGGCGGCGGCGGCGGTGGTGGTGGTGGTGGTAATCAGAGCCGCTCGGAGTGGCACTCGCCAAGTTGCAGTGCTTCTCGGAGGCCCTAACAGAGTTGCCCGCAGCGGTAACCCAGAGTGGCACTCGCGCTCCCACCACCCCTCCCCATCTCTTTCCTGACCTTCCGCCCTCGCTCTTGACGCCCCTCTCTCTCTCTCCGCGTGACCTTCCCACCGCCCCTCCCACCGCCCCGCCGCTCCGTAGGCACGCTTCCTCAGCGTGTCCGTGTTGCCCACTGAGTGCTACAAGGAGTTTGCAGAACACGTGACGGTCGCCTACCCCCCGCTCTGCTCCGCTCTCGAGCCCGTGCTGGGCGTGCGCAGCAAGGAGGAGGTGGCGGGCACCCTCGTGCACATCCTGCAGAGCACCGGCACCGCCAAGGTGGGGGTGGGGGGGGGGGGGAAGGTGGGGTGGGGTGGGGCGCGGGGGGCGGAGAAGGAGGGGGGTGGAGGAGATGGCGGTGGTGGTGGTGATGCTGCCCCGTGGGTTTGATTTGTAGTCGTCGTCATTGTCATCGTCGTCATTGTCATCGTCGTCATCGTCATTGTCCTCATGGTCATCATCATTGTTGTCGTCATCGTCGTCATCGTCGTCATCATCGTCATCGTCGTCGTTGTCATCATCGTCGTCGTTGCCATCATCGTCGTCATCGTCGTCCTCATGGTCATCATCATTGTTGTCATCATCGACGTCATCGTCGACGTCATCATCGTCATCATCATTTATCGTCATCGTCTTCATCGTCATCATCTTCATCGTCATCATCTTCATCGTCGTCGTCCTCATGGTCATCATCTTCATCGTCGTCGTCATCGTCGTCGTCCTCATGGTCATCATCATTGTTGTCATCGTCATCATCATCATTGTCGTCATCGTCGTCATCATTGTTGTCATCGTCATCATCATCATCATTGTCGTCATCATCATCATTGTTGTCGTCGTCGTCGTCATCATCATCATTGTCGTCATCGTCGTCGTCGTCCTCATGGTCATCATCACTGTCGTCATGGTCATCATCATCGTTTTCATCATCGTCGTCATTGTCGTCATCATCGACGTCATCATCGTCGTCATCATTTATCGCCGTCACGTCATCCGCGCCGTCATCATCATCGTCTTCATCGTCTTCATCGTCGTCATCACCGTCGTCATCACCGTCGTCCATATCCCCGTAGGAGTTCCTGACGGATCTGGTGATGGCCGAGGTGGAGCGCTGCGGGGAGAACGAGCACCTCATCTTCCGCGAGAACACGCTCGCCACCAAGGCGGTGGAGGAGTACATGAAGCTCGTGGGACAAAAGTACCTGCAGGACGCCCTGGGTATGGAATCGTTGCCGCGCGAGAGTCGATTGATTTTTTTTTATTAACAGAAACATTCGATTTGTTGTTCTGTTTTTTTTTTTAAAAACCTTTTTCCCCGGCTAAACCATCGCCGTGACGAGACGGAGAATCCACCGGGGGGGAAAGCCGGGGGGGGGGGGGGGGGGGTGGGACAGCGTGGCACGGAGGTCCAGCGGCGCTGGGCTACGAACACTCCCTCACTCCCTCACTCCCTCACTCCTTCACTCCTTCACTCCCTCACTCCCTCACTCCCTCCACTCCCTCACTCCCTCCACTCCCTCCCTCCACCACTCCCTGCCTCCACTCCTTCACTCCCTCACTCCCTCACTCCTTCACTCCTTCACTCCCTCCACTCCCTCCCTCCACCACTCCCTGCCTCCACTCCCTCACTCCCTCACTCCCTCACTCCTTCACTCCTCCACTCCCTCCACTCCCTCCACTCCCTCCCTCCACCACTCCCACACTCCTTCACTCCCTCCACTCCCTCCACTCCCTCACTCCTTTACCCCTCCACTCCCTCCACTCCCTCCCTCTACTCCCTCCCTCCACTCCCTCCCTCCACTCCCTCCCTCCACTCCCTCCACTCCCTCCACTCCCTCCCGCCCCCCTTCGTACACAAACAGTTGCCGGCCCTTGCTGCTGCTGCTGCTTCTCCACTACCGGCCCCACTTGACCCCCCAGGAGGGGGAAAGAGAGAGAGAGAGGAGGGAAGAGGAGGGAAGAGGAGGGAAGAGGAGGGAAGAGGAGAGCGGGGAGAGAGAGGAGAGAGAGAGGAGAGATTTCTTTGGGGTAACATTTTTTATTTAAATTAGAAAATGTATTTCCAGCGGCGTTCTCATCTTCTACGCAGTAGGGGGTAAATGCTCACCCCCCGCTCTTGCTGTGTATGATTTTTCGCATTACGAAGGTACTCACACAGCGGTACTCACACAGTGATACTGGCACAGTGATACCGGCACAGTGGTACTCACACAGGGGTACTCACACAGTGTCACTCACACAGTGTCACTCACACAGTGTCACTCACACAGTGGTACTCACATAGTGTCACTCACACAGTGTCACTCACACAGTGTCACTCACACAGTGTCACTCACACAGTGGTACTCACACAGTGTCACTCACACAGTGGTACTCACATAGTGTCACTCACACAGTGGTACTCACACAGTGGTACTCACACAGTGTCACTCACACAGTGGTACTCACACAGTGTCACTCACACAGTGTCACTCACACAGGGGTACTCACACAGTGTCACTCACACAGGGGTACTCACACAGTGGTACTCACACAGTGTCACTCACACAGTGTCACTCACACAGTGTCACGCACACAGTGGTAGTCACACAGTGGTAGTCACACAGTGTCACTCACACAGTGGTACTCACACAGTGTCACTCACACAGTGTCACTCACACAGTGGTAGTCACACAGTGTCACTCACACAGTGTCACTCACACAGTGGTAGTCACACAGTGTCACTCACACAGTATCACTCACACAGTGTCACTCACACAGTGTCACTCACACAGTGTCACTCACACAGTGGTACTCACACAGTGTCACTCACACAGCGGTACTCACACAGTGGTACTCACACAGTGTCACTCACACAGTGGTACTCACACAGTGTCACTCACACAGTGTCACTCACACAGTGTCACTCACACAGTGGTACTCACACAGTGTCACTCACACAGTGTCACTCACACAGTGTCACTCACACAGTGTCACTCACACAGTGTCACTCACACAGTGTCACTCACACAGGGGTACTCACACAGTGGTACTCACACAGTGTCACTCACACAGCGGTACTCACACAGTGTCACTCACACAGTGATACTCACACAGTGTCACTCACACAGTGTCACTCACACAGTGGTACTCACACAGTGTCACTCACACAGTGATACTCACACAGTGTCACTCACACAGTGTCACTCACATAGTGTCACTCACACAGTGGTACTCACACAGTGTCACTCACACAGTGTCACTCACACAGTGGTACTCACAGAGTGGTAGTCACACAGTGTCACTCACACAGTGTCACTCACACAGTGGTACTCACACAGTGTCACTCACACAGTGGTACTCACACAGTGTCACTCACACAGTGGTACTCACACAGTGGTACTCACACAGTGTCACTCACACAGGGGTACTCACAGAGTGTCACTCACACAGTGTCACTCACACAGTGTCACTCACACAGGGGTGGTACTCACACAGTGTCACTCACACAGTGTCACTCACACAGTGGTACTCACACAGTGTCACTCACACAGTGGTACTCACACAGTGGTACTCACACAGTGTCACTCACACAGTGTCACTCACACAGTGTCACTCACACAGTGTCACTCACACAGTGGTACTCACACAGTGTCACTCACACAGTGTCACTCACACTGTCACTCACACAGTGGTACTCACACAGTGTCACTCACACAGTGTCACTCACACAGTGTCACTCACACAGTGGTACTCACACAGTGGTACTCACACAGTGTCACTCACACAGTGGTACTCACACAGTGGTACTCACACAGTGTCACTCACACAGTGTCACTCACACAGTGTCACTCACACAGTGTCACTCACACAGGGGTGGTACTCACACAGTGGTACTCACACAGGGGTGGTACTCACACAGTGTCACTCACACAGGGGTGGTACTCACACAGCAGTGTAGTGTTCGTGGCTCTGGTGAAAACGACTCACAATTGTGATGCTAAAAATGGCGATTACCTGTGACAACTTCACTTGCAAATCCGTGGATTTTTTCCGGTCATTCACTTTTTTAGAATCAACGCCACCACCACATGCTCAGAGTCACTTGGCCGTTGTGATGAATTTCCACACAATGACGACGATGATGATACGCCCACTTCGAGCTATCATTTGCGATAGCCTGGCATACGGAGAAGTTCGTGGGTTCGATCCCGACCCTGACGCCTGCTGCTGTATATTTGGAGTTTGCGTGTCTCTCTCTCTCATCATCATCATCACGGTGAATAGGGGAGATGTTAACTACCTCGCTTGGTGTACAGGAGGTCGTGGGTTTGATCCCGACCCTGACGCCTGCTGCTGTATATTTGCAATCAGCGTGTCTCTCTCTCTCTCTTCCCGTGGTTTTGTGGATTTTATTTCTCTTCGGCTCCTCCGGTATTTCCCGCCTTCCACGTTTAGAACCAACGTCACGACCACGCGTTTAGAGTGATTTGGCCACCGCTGTAACTTTCCACACGACGGCGACGACGCTGATAAGCCCACTTGGTGGGTGAGCTTGGTTGAGCTATCGGGTAAGCGTCTGAAAAAAAGCTACAGCGCTCAGTTGAGGGCCTCCTGACACACTTGCCGACATGAAACTGTGAGAATAGTTTTTCCCCCTCCTTTTTTTCTGGTAACGAAACAGTTGTGTTAAGATGTTAAAACGCCAAACCGAAACCTGCAGTCACTACAATGCTTGCGGTCAGAACGCAAACAACATAAAACTGGTTTAGTTTTATTATGGGTCTTTGTTGAACCTAGGGGAAAAACCTTGGTTCAACTGTTGATTTATATTTCGATGAATGTTTCGATTTATATTTCATTTACGTTTCTATTTATATTCTACTTACGTTTCTATTAACGTTTCTGTTTATATTTCGATTTACGTTTATATTTATATTTCGCGCGGTGTTTTTACACTTCTCACGCGGTCGACGCGGATGGTTTTATTATAATTTTTTGCGCCGATTTCCGCCCGTCCCTCTCGTTGCTGTGCCTCCTCCTCCTCTTCCTCCTCCTTCCCTCCTCCTTCCACGCGTTTGTCCCACTCACGCGCGCTTCTCCCCCGCCACCGTCACTGCCGCCCATCTCTCTTTCCGCTCCTCGGGCCACCCACGGTTCGATCGCTACCCCCCACCGCCACCACCCCCCACCACCGCCGCCACCGCCACCACTACCACTGCTGCCACCACCACCGCCGCCACCACCGCCACCACCATCGCCACCACCGCCATCGCCGCCACTGCCGCCACTACCACCGCCACCACCGCCACCACCATCTCTTCTTCTGCTTCTGTTTCTGCTTTCTTCCTCTCGAGGGGCACATCCATTGAGTACGCACGCAAAAATCTGTCAACTTAACCCCCCCCGGTCAGGGCCGGATCAAGGCGTGGGGGGGGGGCTTTAGGGGCCGCAGCCCAGGGGCCCTCCACGAGCCAGAGGGCCTCCAGAGATGAAGTGAAAAGTGACTTCGTTTGTGAATGCTGAATTTTATTTCTTGTTAGCCTCGTACAAATACTATTTTTATTTTTCTTTACTGGGCGGTGGGGGGGGGCTCACAGTAGCCCCAGGGGGCCTACACAATCTTAATCCGGCCCTGGTCCCTGTACGCACATGTACTTTTTACACCCCCCCCCCCCCGAATCCTATGGAACGGCCAATATCTAATCCACGCGGAAAAGATCAAGGATGAATAATATTAACGTGGTTTAAGCAAACAGTCCACCTCCGGACTATCTAACTAATTTGAATGCCAATGTCGACAAATTGTTATCGAGGCTTCACATCCCCTCCCCCCCCCCCTCTCGTTTACTACGCGCACATTGTCAGTAGACCCCCCCCCCCATACGCAAGCGTACGCGTTTGCGTTAACCCCGCTACCCCCCCCCCCCCTCCATGCGTACGTACTCAATGGATGGCCCCTGATCTCTTTCCCGCCCACGTGCGTCAACGCCTTCTGGCGGCACCGCATCGTCGCGTTCCCGTTGTCGCCCCCCACGTGACCGAGCCTCTCCCCACGTGACCGAGCCTCTCCCCACGTGACCGAGCCTCGCCCCACGTGACCGAGCCTCTCCCATGTGACCGAGCCTCGCCCCACGTGACCGAGCCTCGCCCCACGTGACCGAGCCTCGCCCCCCACGTGACCGAGCCTCTCCCCACGTGACCGAGCCTCTCCCCACGTGACCGAGCCTCGCCCCACGTGACCGAGCCTCGCCCCACGTGACCGAGCCTCGCCCCACGTGACCGAGCCTCGCCCCACGTGACCGAGCCTCGCCCCACGTGACCGAGCCTCGCCCCACGTGACCGAGCCTCGCCCCACGTGACCGAGCCTCGCCCCCACGGCCCCTTCTCCTCTGCCGTCTCATCCCTTGTGATTTCCTCCACCGCCAGTCTTCACCCCCCCCGCCTCTCTCTCTCTCTCGCTCCTTCGTCTGCCCGCTGTGCCACCTCTCACCTTGGGCTTCTGGTGCGCGTGCTCTCGCCCATCCTGGTCGCTCGTACCTCGCCCCCCCCGGGCTCTTGAGTTGAACTTGTCTCACGCCTCGCCAAGCCCCAAGCCGTGTGATCTCTGTCGGTCGCCGCTGGCGCTGGCTGCTGCTACTGCTGCTGCTCCTACTGCTGCTGCTACTGTTGCTCCTGCTGCTGCTGCTGCTCCTACTGTTGCTCCTGCTGCTGCTTCTGTTGCTGCTGCTGCTCTTGCTGCTCCTACTGCTGCTGCTACTGTTGCTCCTGCTGCTGCTGCTGCTCCTACTGTTGCTCCTGCTGCTGCTACTGCTGCTGCTGCTCCTACTGCTGCTGCTGCTACTGTTGCTACTACTGCTACTACTACTGCTGCTACTACCACTGCTGCCACTACTACTGCTGCTACTACTGCTACTTCTGCTACTGCTGCTGCTACTGCTGCTGCTACTGCTGCTGCTGCTCCTGCTGCTGCTTCTGCTTGTGCTGTTCCTGCTGCTGCTGCTGCTCCTGCTGCTGTTGCTGCTACTGTTGCTACTACTACTGCTGTTGCTCTTGCTGCTGCTGCTGCTCCTGCTGCTACTGCTGCTCCTGCTGCTGCTGCTGCTTCTGCTGCTGCTGTTTCTGCTGCTTCTGCTGCTCCTGCTGCTGCTGCTGCTCCTGCTGCTGCTGCTGCTTCTACCGCTCCTGCTGCTGCTGCTCCTGCCACTTCTACTACTGCTGCTGCTGCCGCTGCTGCTAATACCGCTGCTGCCGCCGCTGCAGGTGAGTTCATCAAGGCGCTGTACGAGTCGGACGAGAACTGCGAGGTGGATCCCAGCCGGTGCCCGGCCGCCGACCTGCAGCCCAACCAGGAGAACCTGCGCATGTGCTGCGAGCTGGCCTTCTGCAAGATCATCAACTCCTACTGGTGCGTGCGTGCGTGCGTGGGCTCGGTCCGTTCGAGTCGGTGGTTTAGGCGCGCAATGTTGGCGTTCGCGGGAAGGCCCGTCTGTGGCCGGGCCCCCCCCCCCGGCTGCTTGTTGAGCAGCGCGGCACGTGCTCGTTGTTGTTACACCTCTCGAGTTGGTGGTTTAGGCAAGGCCGAGGGCTTTATTGCACGCGCGGTGCGCCGGATGCGCGCACACGCGCGCATCCGGGGCGCTAACCGTTACACGTGAACACACACACACACACACACGTGTCCGGCATGCTGACCGTTACACGTGAACACACACACACACACACGTGTCCGGCATGCTGACCGTTACACGTGAACACACACACACACGTGTCTGGTGCGCTAACCGTTACACGTGAACACACACACACGTGTCCGGTGTGCTGACCGTTACACGTGAACACACACACACACAGTGTCCGGTGTGCTGACCGTTACACGTGAACACACACACACACACACACACGTGTCCGGTGTGCTGACCGTTACACGTGAACACACACACACACACACGTGTCCGGCATGCTGACCGTTACACGTGAACACACACACGTGTCCGGTGTGCTGACCGTTACACGTGAACACACACACACACACGTGTCCAGCGTGCTGACCGTTACACGTGAACACACACACACACGTGTCCAGCGTGCTGACCGTTACACGTGAACACACACACACACGCGCGTCCGGGGCGCTAACCGTTACGCGTGAACACACACACACACGTGTCGGGCGTGCTGACCATTACACGTGAACACACACACACACGTGTCCGGTGTGCTGACCGTTACACGTGAACACACACACACACGCGTCCGGGGTGCTAACCGTTACACGTGAACACACACACACACACGTGTCCGGCGTGCTGACCGTTACACGTGAACACACACACACACACACGTGTCCGGCGTGCTGACCATTACACGTGAACACACACACACACGCACGTGCCCGGTGTGCTGACCGTTACGCGTGAACACACACACACACGCGTCCGGGGCCCTAACCGTTACGCGCACGAATATAAATGGTAGGAGGAGGGGTTGGGGATATGGGATGTAAAAAAATTAAAGGGGAAAAAACGAGAACCCCTAGCTCACCGTAAATAATATCCATGTCAGCACCGATGGGGGTGGGGGGGGGGGGTGAAACTCCGGAGAAATGCTTAATGAGCCTCGCAGCGAGCGAGCTGGAGGGCAATTAGCGACTCCTCGTTAACGGAGCGTGCCGGCTTCGGGGACGACTTTCGGCGTGGAATGATGGCTCGGCCGGTTCGTTACACCGCAACATCGCCACCACCAAGACCATCAACGTCGCCACCACCAAGACCATCAACGTCGCCACCACCAAGACCATCAACGTCGCCACCACCACCACCACCACCACTCCTGTCAACCCCTTATCAGTGCCGTATTGAAACGTCTGTACGCCGTATCGACTCGAAAACGAAATTTCCCTGTACAAGAATACGGATTAGACCATATGGGCTGACAGATATCCATCTGTGTGGGTCTCTGTGTGGGTCTCTGTGTGGGTCTCTATGTGTGTCTCTGTGTGTGTCTCTGTGGGGTCTCTGTGGGTCTCTGTGTGGGTCTCTGTGTGGGTCTCTGTGTGTGTCTCTGGGTGTCTCTGTGGGTGTCTCTGTGGGTGTCTCTGAGTGGGTCTCTGTGTGGGTCTCTGTGTGTGTCTCTGTGTGTGTCTCTGTGTGGGTCTCTGTGTGGGTCTCTGTGTGGGTCTCGTGTGGGTCTGTAGGTCTCTGTGTGGGTCTCTCTGTGGGTCTCTGTGTGGGTCTCTGTGTGTCTCTGTGGGTCTCTGTGTGGGTCTCTGTGTGGGTCTCTGTGTGGGTCTCGTGTGGGTCTCTGTGTGGGTCTCTGTGTGGGTCTCTGTGTGGGTCTCTGTGGGTCTCTGTGTGGGTCTCTGTGTGTGTCTCTGTGTGTGTCTCTGTGTGTGTCTCTGTGTGGGTCTCTGTGTGTCTCTGTGTGGGTCTCTGTGTGTGTCTCTGTGTGTCTCTGTGTGTGTCTCTGTGTGTGTGTCTCTGTTTGTGTCTCTGTGTGGGTCTCTGTGTGGGTCTCTGTGTGGGTCTGTAGGTCTCTGTGTGGGTCTGTGTGTGTCTCTGTGTGGGTCTCTGTGGGTCTCTGTGTGGGTCTCTGTGTGTGTCTCTGTGTGTGTCTCTGTGTGGGTCTGTGGGTCTCTGTGTGGGTCTCTGTGGGTCTCTGTGTGGGTCTCTGTGTGTGTCTCTGTGTGTGTCTCTGTGGGTCTCTGTGTGTGTCTCTGTGGGTCTCCAAACCTGTCAACCCCTTATCAGTGCCCTACCTTATTACAGACCAATTCAGACCTTATTTATCACCCCCCGTGCCCCTTATAAATCTCAGCGTTCATCCTCCAAAGTCCCATCACAAGGGAGAACGCGCACAACAAACAGACAAATGTACATATTTTGTTTTGCCCGCATCGAAACGGCTGTACGCCGTATGCACCTGAAAGCCTTCCCCTGTGCAAGAATTACGGGGTCAGCCGCGTGGGTTTGACACGGTGCGAGTTGGCCAATGGGGAACCGCAGGCCGAGAGGGCCCAGAGCTGCCTCTCCCCCCCGCCGGGTCTGTGCGTGCCCAAGGTCGACTCGACCCCCAAGCGATTTAGCATGGGCAGGGCGCGTCGTGCGGTGAACATGGGCAGGGCGCGTCGTGCGGTGAACATGGGCAGGGCGCGTCGTGCGGTGAACATGGGCAGGGCGCGTCGTGCGGTGAACATGGGCAGGGCGCGTCGTGCGGTGAACATGGGCAGGGCGCGTCGTGCGGTGAACATGGGCAGGGCGCGTCGTGCGGTGAACATGGGCAGGGCGCGTCGTGCGGTGAACATGGGCAGGGCGCGTCGTGCGGTGAACATGGGCAGGGCGCGTCGTGCGGTGAACACCGCCGACCGGGGAGACGAACGGCTTGGCCCGGGGGTCTGGTCCGCCCTCCGTCGGCGCTGCCGCCCGCTCGCTCGCTCGCCCGCCCGCTCGCCCCGTTCGCTCGCTCGCCCGTTCGCTCGCTCGCCCGTTCGCTCGCTCGCCCCGACGGCCTTCGGGAAAACGCAACGACAGCAACGAGGAGGGGGAGAGGGGAGATCCTGACGGTGGCAGTAGATCGCGACCGTCTATTTTTTTTTCCCCCGACCTCTGATTTTGTGCTTGTTGCCCGCCCGGCCCCGCCCCGGCCCCGCCCCGGCCCCGCCCCGACACGCGTGACCGTAGCGTGTTCCCGCGCGAGCTCCGGGAGGTGTTCGCCGCCTGGCGGCAGCGGTGCGCGGCCCGCGGCCGCCCGGCCATCAGCGAGCGTCTCATCGTGGCCTCGCTGTTCCTGCGCTTCCTCTGCCCGGCCATCATGTCCCCGAGCCTCTTCGGCCTGACGCAGGAGTATCCGGACGATCGCACGGCGCGCACGCTCACGCTCATCGCCAAGGTCATCCAGAACCTGGCCAACTTCACACGGTACGGCACGCGCGAGCGAGCGAGCGTGCGTGGGGAGATGAGAGAGAGAGGGAGAGAGAGAGAGAGAGAGGGGGAAATGTGTTGTGGATGATGTGAAAATAATTATAAGAGGAGGTTTGTACCCCACGCCCCCACCCCCTCACCCACCCACCCACCCCCCACGCTTCTCTGGCAATAATGCAGGAGGAGGAGGTGCGTTGAGAGACGTTCAAATGTCGAGTGAGAAAAACTTTGGCAAGGAATGATGATGATGGGGAGTGGGGGGGGAAGGTGATGTGGGGGAGGCGGTGATGTGGGGGGACGGTGATGGGGGGGGTACGGTGATGGGCGGTCGGTGATGGGGGGGGCGGTGATGTGTGGGGGGGGGGGGAGGGGAAGCGGTGATGTGGGGGGCTTGCGGTCATGGGCGGGGGGGGGGGGGGGGGAGCGGTGATGGGAGGTGAGGTGACCGGTGGGTGTAGGATTGGGAAGCAGTCATTAGGAGTCCGAACCCGAACCCCCGTCACCGTCTGTGATGGAGCTTCGCCGGAATCGCCCCCCCCCCACCCCCACCACCGCCCCCCCCCCCCCCCCCCCCCACCCCCACCACCGCCCCCGGATAATGCCGGACGCCGGACAATCGGAACGATCTGCCGCAAGTGACAATTATCCGTGACGCCTTTCACGAGGGACACCTGTGCCACGCCCCCCCCCCCCCTCCCTCCCACCCCCCCAAGGTTCGGCAACAAGGAGGACTACATGGCGTTCATGAACGACTTCTTGGAGCAGGAGTGGGTGAACATGAAGCGCTACCTGGCGGAGATGTCCAACGCGGAGGCTGGCCCCAACGGGAGAGCTATGAGGGCTACATCGACCTCGGCCTCGAGATGTCCACCCTGCACACTCTGCTGTCCGACGTGGTGGCGCAGGGAGACAAGGTTGGGGGCGCCGTTAGCAACCCCTCCCCGCCCGGAGTGGTCACGGGAGGTCCATCCCCGGGGGTTACATCCCGGGACCCCACCACACCCCCCCCCCCCCCTCTACTCCGGGTTGCTCCTCCCGTCACGTTTAGAAGCGCGTTCAGAGTGCCTGGCTGCCGCGGTTTTGGATTTTTCCCGATTTTAGTCATTCGACGTTAACGATTGTGGCCGAAGGCGATGACGATGTTGACGATGGCGATGTGTCCACAGTGATGATGATGGCTACGGTGATGACGATGGCGATGATGACGATGGCCATGACGGTGCACACAGTGATAATGATGGCTACGGTGATGACGATGGCGATGATGACTATGGCGATGACGGTGCACACAGTGATAATGATAGCTACGGTGATGACGATGATGATGACGATGGCGATGATGGTGCACACAGTGATAATGGTAGCTACGGTGATGACGATGGCAATGATGGTGGCAATGATGGTGCACACAGTAATAATGGTAGCTACGGTGATGACGATGATGATGATGGTGATGATGGTGCACAGAGTGATAATGACAGCTACGGTGATGACGATGATGATCACGATGGCGATGATGGTGCACACAGTGATAATGATAGCTACGGTGATGACGATGATGGTGCACACAGTGATAATGATAGCTACGGTGATGATGATGATTACGATGATGGTGCACACAGTGATAATGATAGCTACGGTGATGACGATGATGATGATGGTGCACACAGTGATAATGATAGCTACGGTGATGATGATGATGGTGCACACAGTGATAATGATAGCTACGGTGATGACGGTGATGGTGATGGCTGATGGTGCACACAGTGATAATGATAGCTACGGTGATGACGGTGATGGTGATGGCTGATGGTGCACACAGTGATAATGATAGCTACGGTGATGACGATGATGATGACGATGGTGATGATGGTGCACACAGTGATAATGATAGCTACGGTGATGACGATGACGATGATGGCAATGATGGTGCACACAGTGATAATGATAGCTACGGTGATGACGATGACGATGATGGTGCACACAGTGATAATGATAGCTACGGTGATGACGATGACGATGATGGCAATGATGGTGCACACAGTGATAATGATAGCTACGGTGATGACGATGACGATGATGATTACTATGATGATGAACATTGACGATTATGTCCACAGTGGTAATGATGACTACGGTGACGATGAAGACCGCGACGATCACCGTGACGATCACCGTGACGATGAAGACCGCGACGATCACCGTGACGATCACCGTGACGATCACCGTGACGATCACCGTGACGATCACCGTGACGATGAAGACCGCGACGATCACCGTGACGATCACCGTGACGATCACCGTGACGATCACCGTGACGATCACCGCGGCAACGACGAGCGACGGCCGTCACTACCCCTGGCGTGACCCCCGCCTGCCCAATCCCCGCCACCCTCCCCCCTCCTCGCCCCACCAGACCACCGTGGCCAAGCTGGGCCCTCTGCCGAGGATCTTGTCCGACATCAGCTCGGCCCTCTCGCCCGGCTCCCGCGTGGGGGTCCCGGCGGGCGACTCTTCGACGGCCGGGGTGGGGGGCCGCCCCCCCCCGCTGGTGTCGGCCGTGCCCGGCCTGGGCAGCACGAGTCTGGCTTCGGGCCTGCACCGCATCTTGGAGGACAGCGATGTGTTCGGGTACGGCGGATGTGTTCGGGTACGGCGGCGGTGCGATGATCTCGTCGAAGCCGGGCGGTGTGTCGTGTCATTGTCTCCGTCGCACGTGTCGTCGTCCCCGTCGTCGTCGTCCCCGTCGTCATCGTCGTCGTCATCATCGTCGTCGGTTTGCCTGTATCATCATCGTCGTCGTCATCGTCGTCGTCATCGTCGTCAGTTTGTCTGTATCATCTTCATCGTCGTCGTCATCGTCGTCGGTTTGTCTGTATCATCTTCATCGCGCGTATTGCCACCGTCGTCATTGTCGTCGGTCTGTCTTCATCGGCGGTATCGTCATCGCCGTCATCGTCGTCGTCATCATCGTCGTCGTCATCATCGTCGCCGTCGTCATCATCGCCATCATCATCGTCGTCATCATTGCCGTCATCATTGCCGTTATCATCGTCGTCGTCGTCATCATCACCGTCGTCATCATCGTCATCATCGCCGTCGTCATCGTTGTCGTCATCATCGCCGTCGTCATCATCGTCATCATCGCCGTCGTCATCATCGCCGTCGTCGTCGTCATCATCGTCGTCGGTGTGTCTCCATCGCACGTATCGTCACCGCCATCGGCGTCATCATCGTCGTCGTCGGTGTGATGATGTACTCATTGTCGGCGGTGTGTCGTCATCGTCTTCGTCACGCGCATCATCATCATCATCCTCATCATCGCCGTCATCGTCTTCGTCCTACGCGTGTCGCCCTCGCCGCGATCAAGAAGCAGCAGCGGAGCTGGAGAGCGCGCGCGCTTGTGGGAATCAAAAAGAAACCCAACGCCTTCGTAAACAAACGGAACCGCTCGCTCCGACCGCTGATCGGCTCGCTTATTTCTCCTTGGCATTTTCCCCCTCTTCCACCCCCCACCACCTCCCAGCTTCACGCGCCTCCCGTCGCCCACGCAGGAGAACCGCGAGGCCTTCTTTGTGACACGCACGGAGGCCGCCCCGCGCTCCGTCTCCCCGCCGGGCCGCCCCCTCGCCCCCAACTCCTCCTCCTCCTCCTCGTCGTGCGGCGGCGGCGGCGGCGTCAACTCGTCGTCCCCTCTTCCTCCGCCGCCTCCTCTTCCTCCGCCGCTGCTCTCCGCTCTCCCGGCAGGCTCCGGGCCGGCCGCGGTCGCCCACCTCCCTCCCGGCTCGGCCGCCACCATGCAGATCAACGACGGCAAGCATCAGCAGCATCAGCAGCAGCAGCAGCACCACCATCAGCAGCAGCAGCAGCAGCAGCATCAGCAGTACCCCGTGTCGCAGCCAAGATCAAAGCCGGCCCGATCGATACAGAGCAACACGGTGCAGCACAAGAGGATGGAGGTCCCCGCATCACTCGCGGAGCATACCAGGTGATCCTTTTAAACTTTCTCTCTGCCCCGTGTGTGTGTGCGTGCGTGTGTGTGCGTGTATGCGTGCGTGCGTGTGCGTGTGTGCGTGCGTGTGTGTGTGCGTGTGTGCGTGTATGTGTGTGTGTGCGTGTGTGCGTGCGTGTGTGTATGTGTTCGTGTATGTGTGTATGTGTGTGTGCGTGTGTGTGTGTGTGCGTGTATGTGTTCGTGTATGTGTGCGTTCGTGCGTGTGTGTGCGTGCGTGTATGCGTGTATATGTGCGTGTGTGTGTGCGTGTGTGTGTGCGTGTGTGCGTGCGTGCGTGTGTGCGTGTATGTGTGCGTGCGTGTGTGTATGCGTTCGTGTATGTGTGCGTGCGTGTATGTGTGTGTGCGTGTGTGTGTGTGCGTGTATGTGTTCGTGTATGTGTGCGTGTGTGTATGTGTGCGTGTATGTGTGCGTGTGTGCGTGTGTGGGTGCGTGTGTGTGTGCCTGTGTGTGCGTGTGTGTGTGTGCGTACGTGTGTGCGTGCGTGACGATTATCTAACTGAATCGGTCCTGGGCCTGCCCTAGGTCGACGCGGCCTCAAATTAGTACCCGGTGCGGTGTGTAGTAAACGTCGCCACCGGGGAGACAAAGGCGGCCGGGCGTGGTTGCTGGCCACGCAGCCCCTCGTGTGCCATGACGGCCTTTGTAGGCGCTGCTACTCGCTAAGAGCAACTTGCCCCAGCAGTCTGTTACAGGCTACACGGGGGGGGGGGTGGGATCTTTGTCTTTGTGCATGCATGTGTGAGCAAGCCTATGTGAGTGTGTGCGTGTTGGTGTGTGGTGTGTGTGGCGGGTGTGTGCGTGTTGGTGTGTGGGTGGTGTGGAATGTGTGCATGTGGGTGTGTGCGTGTTGGTGGGTGGGTGTGGTGTGTGCGTGTTGGTGGGTGGGTGTGGGTGTGTGCGTGTTAGTGTGTGGGTGCGCGTGTTGGTGTGTGATTGTGTGGGGGTGTGGGTGTGTGCGTGTTGGTGTGTGCGTGTTGGTGTGTGCGCGTGTGCGTGTTGGTGTGCGTGTTGGTGCGTGTGGGTGCGTGAGTGTGGGCGCGTGCGTTCGTTCGTTTGGTTGTATGCCACACGTTCTGCTATTTTGTTGTGCTGTTGAGTCTAATGGCAAGTGTAGAGTCTATGGGCAGTGTTGAGTCTATGGGCAGTGTTGAATCTCTGGTGCAGTGTTGAGTCTATGGGCAGCGTAGAGTCTATGGGCAGTGTTGAGTCTATGGGCAGTGTTGAGTCTATGGGCAGTGTTGAGTCTATGGGCAGTGTTGAGTCTATGGGCAGTGTTGAGTCTATGGGCAGTGTTGAGTCTATGGGCAGTGTTGAGTCTATGGGCAGTGCTGAGTCTCTGGTGCAGTGTTGAGTCTCTGGTGCAGTGTTGAGTCTCTGGTGCAGTGTTGAGTCTATGGGCAGTGTAGAGTCTATGGGCAGTGTTGAGTCTATGGGCAGTGTTGAGTCTATGGGCAGTGTTGAGTCTATGGGCAGTGTTGAGTCTATGTGTAGTGTTGAGTCTATGGGCAGTGTAGAGTCTATGGGCAGTGTTGAGTCTATGTGCAGTGTTGAGTCTATGAGCAGTGTTGAGTCTATGTGCAGTGTTGAGTCTATGGTGTAGTGTTGTAGCGTGTTGAGTGGCAGTGTTGAGTCTATGGGTAGTGTTGAGTCTATGGGCAGTGTTGAGTCTATGTGTAGTGTTGAGTCTATGGGCAGTGTAGAGTCTATGGGCAGTGTTGAGTCTATGTGCAGTGTTGAGTCTATGAGCAGTGTTGAGTCTATGTGCAGTGTTGAGTCTATGGTGTAGTGTTGAGTCTATGGGCAGTGTTGAGTCTATGGGTAGTGTTGAGTCTATGGGCAGTGTTGAGTCTATGTGCAGTGTTGAGACTATGGGCAGTGTTGAGACTATGGTGCAGTGTTGAGTCTATGGGCAGTGTTGAGTCTATGGGTAGTGTTGAGTCTCTGGTGCAGTGTTGAGTCTCTGGTGCAGTGTTGAGTCTCTGGTGCAGTGTTGAGTCTATGGGCAGTGTTGAGTCTATGGGCAGTGTTGAGTCTATGGGCAGTGTTGAGTCTATGGGCAGTGTTGAGTCTATGGGCAGTGCTGAGTCTCTGGTGCAGTGTTGAGTCTCTGGTGCAGTGTTGAGTCTCTGGTGCAGTGTTGAGTCTATGGGCAGTGTAGAGTCTATGGGCAGTGTTGAGTCTATGGGCAGTGCTGAGTCTATGGGCAGTGTAGAGTCTATGGGCAGTGTTGAGTCTATGTGTAGTGTTGAGTCTATGGGCAGTGTAGAGTCTATGGGCAGTGTTGAGTCTATGTGCAGTGTTGAGTCTATGAGCAGTGTTGAGTCTATGTGCAGTGTTGAGTCTATGGTGTAGTGTTGAGTCTATGGGCAGTGTTGAGTCTATGGGTAGTGTTGAGTCTATGGGCAGTGTTGAGTCTATGTGTAGTGTTGAGTCTATGGGCAGTGTAGAGTCTATGTGCAGTGTTGAGTCTATGTGCAGTGTTGAGTCTATGAGCAGTGTTGAGTCTATGTGCAGTGTTGAGTCTATGGTGTAGTGTTGAGTCTATGGGCAGTGTTGAGTCTATGGGTAGTGTTGAGTCTATGGGCAGTGTTGAGTCTATGTGCAGTGTTGAGACTATGGGCAGTGTTGAGACTATGGTGCAGTGTTGAGTCTATGGGCAGTGTTGAGTCTATGGGTAGTGTTGAGTCTCTGGTGCAGTGTTGAGTCTCTGGTGCAGTGTTGAGTCTCTGGTGCAGTGTTGAGTCTCTGGTGCAGTGTTGAGTCTCTGGTGCAGTGTTGAGTCTATGGGCAGTGTAGAGTCTATGGGCAGTGTTGAGTCTATGGGCAGTGTTGAGTCTATGGGCAGTGTAGAGTCTATGGGCAGTGTTGAGTCTATGTGTAGTGTTGAGTCTATGGGCAGTGTAGAGTCTATGGGCAGTGTTGAGTCTATGTGCAGTGTTGAGTCTATGAGCAGTGTTGAGTCTATGTGCAGTGTTGAGTCTATGGTGTAGTGTTGAGTCTATGGGCAGTGTTGAGTCTATGGGTAGTGTTGAGTCTATGGGCAGTGTTGAGTCTATGTGTAGTGTTGAGTCTATGGGCAGTGTAGAGTCTATGGGCAGTGTTGAGTCTATGTGCAGTGTTGAGTCTATGAGCAGTGTTGAGTCTATGTGCAGTGTTGAGTCTATGGTGTAGTGTTGAGTCTATGGGCAGTGTTGAGTCTATGGGTAGTGTTGAGTCTATGGGCAGTGTTGAGTCTATGTGCAGTGTTGAGACTATGGGCAGTGTTGAGACTATGGTGCAGTGTTGAGTCTATGGGCAGTGTTGAGTCTATGGGCAGTGTTGAGTCTCTGGTGCAGTGTTGAGTCTCTGGTGCAGTGTTGAGTCTATGGGCAGTGTTGAGTCTATGGGCAGTGTTGAGTCTATGGGCAGTGTTGAGTCTATGTGCAGTATTGAGACTATGGGCAGTGTTGAGACTATGGTGCAGTGTTGAGTCTATGGGCAGTGTTGAGTCTATGGGTAGTGTTGAGTCTCTGGTGCAGTGTTGAGTCTCTGGTGCAGTGTTGAGTCTCTGGTGCAGTGTTGAGTCTATGGGCAGTGTTGAGTCTATGGGCAGTGTTGAGTCTATGGGCAGTGTTGAGTCTATGGGCAGTGTAGAGTCTATGGGCAGTGTAGAGTCTATGGGCAGTGTTGAGTCTATGGGCAGTGTTGAGTCTATGGGCAGTGTTGAGTCTATGGGCAGTGTAGAGTCTATGGGCAGTGTTGAGTCTATGGTCAGTGTTGAATCTATGGGCAGTGTTGAGTCTCTGGTGCAGTGTTGAGTCTCTGGTGCAGTGTTGAGTCTCTGGTGCAGTGTTGAGTCTATGGTGCAGTGTTGAGTCTATGGACAGTGTTGAGTCTATGGGTAGTGTTGAGTCTATGGGCAGTACTGAGTCTATGGGCAGTGTTGAGTCTATGGGCAGTGTTGAGTCTATGGGCAGTGTTGAGTCTATGGACAGTGTTGAGTCTCTGGTGCAGTGTTGAGTCTATGTGCAGTGTTGAGTCTATGGGCAGTGTTGAGTCTATGGGTAGTGTTGAGTCTCTGGTGCAGTGTTGAGTCTCTGGTGCAGTGTTGAGTCTCTGGTGCAGTGTTGAGTCTATGGGCAGTGTTGAGTCTATGGGCAGTGTTGAGTCTATGGGTAGTGTTGAGTCTATGGTGCAGTGTTGAGTCTATGGGCAGTGTTGAGTCTATGGGCAGTGTTGAGTCTATGGGCAGTGTTGAGTCTATGGGCAGTGTTGAGTCTACGGGCAGTGTTGAGTCTATGGGCAGTGTTGAGTCTATGGGTAGTGTTGAGTCTATGGGCAGTGTTGAGTCTATGGGCAGTGTTGAGTCTATGGGCAGTGTTGAGTCTATGGGCAGTGCTGAGTCTCTGGTGCAGTGTTGAGTCTCTGGTGCAGTGTTGAGTCTCTGGTGCAGTGTTGAGTCTATGGGCAGTGTAGAGTCTATGGGCAGTGTTGAGTCTATGGGCAGTGCTGAGTCTATGGGCAATGTTGAATCTATGGGCAGTGTTGAGTCTATGGGTAGTGTTGAGTCTCTGGTGCAGTGTTGAGTCTCTGGTGCAGTGTTGAGTC